ATAAGGAAACCAGAATTTTCGCACCCAGATTCAACCATGCGACAGCATGGTTATACAAAATTTTCACTGTTCATCTCCTGTAGATGCTTGTACGACTGCATGGAATTTATACCATACGACTGCATGGTAGAAATTATTTTCCTTTTGATTCACTTCGGTCCCCAAGTTTGTTTCATCCATCTTTTGACCTTGATTTCTTCTTCTTCTAAAATCCCATGATATCACAATGTGTTACTTAACTTAATTCCATGCTTGATTCGTCATTCGGGTCATCTTTTGAATAATAGAATTTTGATTCTCGGAGTTTCATATTCTTCCATNCTCAATTCCATGCTTGACTCACCATTCGGGACATCTTTTGAATAATTGCATTTTGGTCCTCGAAGTTTCATATTATTCCATTTTGGTCCTTTTTCGTTCATTTTCTTATACTCTTCATTCCATCCATCAATGTAATCCTACAAATACAAATTATATCGAATTAAGCCATATTTCAACATATGCATCAACAATTTTTCATGTTTTGTGACCTGAATAAGTGTGCAAAACATTCGATTTACAATATCAAATCAATCCATGAAAAAATGCAAGCTCAATAAATATAAATAATTATTTATCGAAAAATGTCATGAATAATTTACTCGAAATTCAAAAACCTATCCAACGTACTATATGGTAATATATAACGTGTTCTGTAACATTTTAATTAAGTAATCAACTTTCGTGGTCAAGAACTAATGTTTGACGTTCAAGAATCCTTGAGAAAAATTTTGTAACATTTTAATTATCTACTTCTGTGGTAAGAATTGAAGTTAAATCAAGGGAAAAATTCACAACTCAGGTTTTATCTATCCCAAAATAAAAAATAAAGCCCCAAGGTCTAAAATTGCAAAAATTAGGTTTTTTATGAATTAATTAATTATATTTCAAAATTATTATATTAAATTAAATATTTAACTGTAATATAATAAAATTAACCCACCCCCCCCCCCCTACACCACCCCCATTGCTCTGGCTACTACTCCGGCGACTGGCGACTGCTCCGCTTCGGNATATTTAACTATAATATAATATAATTAACCCACCCCCACCTCCACCTCCACCTCCACCTCCACCTCCACCTCCATCACCACCATCCACACTACTCCGGCGACTACTCCGGTAACAGGTGACCACTGTTCTCCGATCACGAATCAAAAATTTTGTAGGTCACAGATTATTTTGAGGTCACAAATCTAAAATTTTATAGGTCACAATTTTTTTATTGGTAACGGATCAAAAATTTTGTAGATCACGGATTATTTCGAGATCACAAATCAAAAAATTTATAGGTCACAATTGACTTCATTGGTCACTGATAAAAAAATTATAGATCACAAATTTTTAATTGGTCACAAGTTAAAAAAAATTGTAGATAACATAGATTA